TTGTAAAAAATCAATAAAATATATATATATTTTTAAAAATTAAACAAAACCGGTTTGGCTCAGTGGTAGAGTGTCGGTCTGTGGACTGAAAGGTCCCAGGTTCAATTCTGGTCAAGGGCATGTACCTGGGTTGTGGGCACATCCCCAGTAGGGGATGTGCAAGAGGCAGCTGGTCGATGTTTCTCTCTCATTGATGTTTCTAGCTCTCTCTCTCCCTTCCTCTCTGTAAAAAATCAACAAAATATATTTTAAAAAAATAAAATATTGGCATTTGTTTTAATACTCCATTCAATTGATTTTCAATGTCCTATCTAATAAACGTTTCATGTTTTCATTTTTTGAAAGTAGCTTCACTCTCTTTTCATAAAATGGATCCTGGCTCTTTAACAAAACCTAACCAAAGTATTTCAATGAAATTATCTCAGCTGTCTTTCCAAAAACTCTGTTTTCTGTCAGCCTATTTAATTTTTTAGCAAGTGTTTCTTATATTTATTACTCTCATGATAGCCTGTGGATTTAGAGCACTGACTATATATCACTTGAATTCAATAAAAAGAAAATGGACATGGGTATTAGATGAAATGTATTAATCATTTCTTAATCTTAAAATATAAATTCTTCTTCAAAAATAACTTCTTGCTCAACTCTGCTTTCTGAGTTCATATATATTTCTTACTTTTCTATGTTCAGTAACACTCTCTTGTATTTCCACCCAGTGTTCTTTGAATTAACACTGGGTGTTAATTAACACTAGAATTAGAATTATTTTTAGAATTATTTTTAGAATAATTAGAATTTATTTTTAGAATAATTAGAATTATTCTAATTAACACTAGAATTAGAATTATTTTTAATAATTCTAATTAGAATTAATTTTAATTAGAATTAATTTATTTTTAGAATAATTAGAATTATTCTAATTAACACTAGAATTAGAATTATTATTCCTATACTAAGAGAAACAACAAATTATCCCTTATGGTTGCAAATATAACTAAATTCCTTCCTTCTTTTATTAACTAAACAAAAAAATGCTACATCATACACACACACACACACACACACACACACACACAGCCCCTACCTCTTCAGTCCCTCAACTCAGCTAGAACGGGAAACTGTAACTGTATGGATAGCTCATGGAGCATCTGTAATGACAAGAATCATTCAATCCACTTTAATAATATTAAAGATACCCAGCTAGGTAGTAAAGGGGGAGCAAAGCTAAATAATGCATGCTCCTAATTCTGAAGAAACTCTTTTTTTATTGTCTAAAGTTTTACATATGACTCCTTATTCCCTGCTTGACCCCCACACTGGGCAAGCCCCCACCACCCCAGTGTCTGTGTCCATTAGTTATGCTAATACGCATGCATACAAGTCCTTTGGTTGATCTCTAACCCCTCCTCCCATGCCATTTGTCTCTAGATCTATTCTTGTTCATCAAATTATGTTGAGCATTTATATCCCACATATGAGTGAGATCATGTGATATTTATTTTTCTCTAACTGGCTTATTTCACTTAGCATAATGCTCTCCCGTTCCATCCAGGCTGTTGCAAATGATAAAAGTCCCTTCTTTTTTATAGCAGCATAGTATTACATTGTGTAGATGTACCACATCTTTTTAACCCACTCATCTGCTGATGGGAAATTAGGTTGTTTCCAAATCTTAGCTATTGTAAATTGTGCTGCTATAACATAGGGGTGCATATATCCTTTCTGATTGGTGTTTCTATTTTCTTGGGATATATTCCTAGGAGTGAGGTCACTGGGTCAAATGGGAGTTCTATTTTTAACTTTTTGAGGAAACTCCATACTGTTCACAGTGGCTGCACAAATCTGCATTGCCACCAGCAGTACACAAGGGTCCTTTTTTCTCTGCATCCTCACTTGTCTTTTGTTAATTTGTTGAAGATAACCATACTGACAGATGTGATGGTACTGCATTGTAATTTTTATTTGCATCTCTTGAATAATTATGCCATTATTTTTGTTGTAGTTGATTTCTAATATTTTTCTGCTCACTTTGTTTCTTTGCCAGCCTTCAGTTGTATTTATACAAGAGTCAATTTCTGATACAACCTTTGGGTATCAGTGTTTCTGTATTAGTTTATGGGACTAAATGGCCCTTCTACCCAGTGTTTGGATTCTTCTTTCCCTGCTGCACTTAATACTGGGTTGGTGGGACGGTCTTACCCAGAGCTGGTTTCCCGCTCATCTCTTCTTATTCTGATCCCCAGTTTCCGCAAAAACAACTTTCCCCTGCAGTTTTTATTTGGAAGGTCCTATGTACTGGGTTAGTAAGCAAAAGCAAGGAGGAAAAAAAAAAAGACAAAGTATCTAAGGTCTCCCCGGTTGAAAGTAAGATTGGGCTTCCAATCATAGTCACTCTCCCCTTCAAGATGCAGTCTCTGCAGCAGAGCCGGCTGCTCTAGGAGAGATTTCAGCAGCAGTAGAGGCTGACCAGCTAGAGGAGCCTTGTCTGCTAGTCCCCAACAGTCTTATGGGATATAGATGTTTCTCACTCATAAATACACAAACTCCCCGCACATACATGCACTCTCCTTGAGCTCTCTCATTCATACACTATCTTGCAGCCTGCAGTCCCATCAGTCGCCATCTTCATGAACCTGAAAGAACTCTTAACAGTTCTTTGCAACACATCTTCACTATGAAATGAACTTGAGAGATTTACTTGGCACAGCTACCTTTGAAAAGTGATAGCTTTAGTTGTTCTGCCTATATAAACCCTAATACGGAGTCTCCCCTTCAGGTATTCCTTTGTTCAACCATTCTGCTGCTCGGTAGACAAGAAGCATAAAAAGCTCTGACTAGGTCCTCATGGGTAATAAAGCCTGGATCATGCTGTTCAAAGTTAGAAAAATTGTTAGTAAAGCTTAAATCCATAGTAGAGAATCTCCCAGGGCCATTACCAAACATATTATTGGAAAATACATAATGAGGAAAATCTATAAAAATAAAGGTTTAGTATACTAATTAGGCCAGGTGTCCTTCCAGACATCCTTCTGGATGACCTTCTGGACAAAGCCAGGTCCTGGGTGCCTGCCAGTGGCCAGAGAGAAGCCCAGGTCCCAGGCGCCAGAGGGAAGGCAGGACCTACTCTTGCACAAATTTTGTGCATCAGCTTCGAGGATAATAATAAAGGGGGAAATGCTGTTACCATACTGTAGAATTGGAAAATAATGGGAAGATGGTCATTTCAATGCTGTGAGAAGATATTCCCAAATGAGTTTTAAGGATGATAAATGCAAAATATAAATGCCTCTTTTCTGGTAATACTTATCAGCTAGGCTCTTACAGGATTTAGGTAAATATTCATTTCTTATGCATCAGGCAGTTGTATGAAATTACCTGTAAATGTAACTTCAGGGAGTGCTAGTCTTTCTCTCAGGAAGTCACCTGCATAGGGGGATATGAGAAGTCTAGAGAAAGATTCATCCAAACAAGCCTCTTTTTTATTGATTGACATTTGTTGTTGGGAAATCTATCACCAATACTACTATTTAGTATTTACTGTTTTTGAAGTCTGTGGATGTTACCATCATATAATTAGATCTTCAAATAATACATTAGACAGAGCAGAGAGGACAGTGAAGCTTAGAGACCTTAAATCGTTCTGTATATTATAAGACTTTTGGCAGAACAGTCATTCATTCCACACAAAAAAATATGTCGTGTCCCTATTATGTGCCATGGGCAATGACAGGCACTATTTAGGCACTAAGGAGAGAAATATGAAAGATACTTATGGCCTAGCACAGCCCATTTTAAATATTATGTAATGTGGCCTATGCGTAGGATCTCAGACTTCCTAGCTACCCATTCCATAGATCTTTTTCAACCCACCAAAGGTTTGTTATTAGAAAGTATTTCATGTGTTATTAAAATCTATATACTTTTAAAATACAAATTACCATGGGAGGGTGCCACCTTTAACCTTTATCTGCTGCAATTCCTTTCTGGTGAATTAGTTGTTCTGCTCTTTCCTACAGGATAGATAATGAAAGCAGTTCTTTCCTACAGGATAGATAATGAAAGCAGAAAGAACTACAGAAGCATTAGAGGCCTGGTGAAAGACATTTGGGGGTGTCCCTCAGCCAGGCCAGCGCCCTCTAGCAGTCTGGGATCCCTCGCTCCTTACCACTTGGCTCCCTGCTCCTTAGCACTGCTGCTGAGACAGGAGAGGCTTCCTCCACTGCTGCTGTGCTTGTCAGCTGTGAGCCCGGCTTCTGGCTGAGCGGCCTTCCCCTTGAGGGAGCACACTGACCACCAGGGATAAGCTCTTGCATTGAGCGTTTGCCCCCTGATGGTCAGTGTGAATCACAGTGACAGGTTGTTCTGCTGTAACAGTCACTTAGGCGTTTGTTATAGAAGCATAGTTTAGGGATGGGGAGGTGTGAAGTGTCAGGGAGGGTACAAAGTCATTTTAGAGAAGCTTGGGTAGGATCCAAAAGAGTGCTGAGGATGATTCTAAAAGGTTAGAGTCAGCATTGAGAATACATTTTATCCACTTTATAGATTACATGAATGAACCTAGACTAAGGATAGTAATAGAAATTCAATTTTTTTAAATTAATATTTCCTGGGCACCTATTTAAGCCTGAGATTAGGTTACGCTCTGAGGATCCATGTAGCTTTGAACCAGATTGGTTTCATCCTTGTCCTCACTGAGATTAGAGTATAGCAGGGGCAGAGGCATTGTCAAGTAATTTGAGCTCTTTAGTGCTATGCAAGAAGCACATACAATAGTAGAGCCCATCCAATTCCATAGATATGGGAGTTCTTTGAGTTTATAAAATTGAAGTGGGCCCTAGAACACTGAGAGAAGAGTGAGTGAGTGGAATTACTGTGCTTACTGTCTTCATTTAAATGAGTAATCAGGGGACTCTCTCAAAAATAGCATTTTCAGGGAAAAGTGATACGAATCGTTTTATGTTGAAATTCTCTAAATCCACTGACTTCTCCCTTCTTGACAGAAAATGCATGTCTTCAAGAAGACCTTGCAGGCGTTGATCTACCCCATGTCTTCCACCACCCCCCACAATTTTGAGGTCTGGACAGCTACGACACCAACCTACTGTTACGAGTGCGAAGGGCTCCTGTGGGGCATTGCCCGGCAGGGCATGAAGTGCTTGGAGTGCGGAGTGAAGTGCCATGAGAAGTGCCAGGACCTCCTGAACGCCGACTGTTTGCAGAGTGAGTACGTGGCCAGGCTGAAGAGGTGGTTTTGCAGAGCCCTCCTTATCCTATATGTTCTCAGGTTAGTCCTCTCAACTCTTGCTAGTTTTCCTACCATGCATCTAAAGAAACACATACTGCCCATTCAGTCATGTATAATAGTTGAACTTGGTGCGATTTCTACAGAGTTGAACTCACTTGGCGCAATTAGATTTCTCAGAGTGAGAACCTAGAGTCCAATTGCACTGGCACCCAGTAGGAAAACTTTACAGGATTCTTAGTTGATTTTATCATTTTACCTCATCACAGCCCCATGGGGGTAAAAGGGAATATGTAGAGTCAAGTTCCTCAAACGGGAGCTAATACACATCCCTGTGATTTCACCGTGATTCTAGCAACTGGAATTTTTCCAAGCCTATTTGGTATCTGATTGAGGAGCCATCTTCTTCTACGTCCCATGCACAGGCCTTCGCTGGGAAGGTCTTGTGTTTGAATGTCAGAGACAAACCTACGTTACCAGATCCGTGACCTTAATCAAGAATTTAAAATTTGGGGCTTTATTTTCCTCCACCGAATGAACAGGAATCACAAATTTACCTCAGAGAGTTATTGGAAATAGCCTCTTCTAATTGTCTGGCACACAGTAGATGCTCAATGAATCTTAGTGGCCCTTCCGCACTTTCACACTTCCAAATAGGTACCTGTGTCAACCTTCATAACATGTGTTACCTTAAATTTTCCATTTTCAAAAAAAAATTATTATTTTTACTGATACTTTTGATTCAGTCCAGAAATGTCAAAATATCACACTCTAAAGTACCTACCTATTATGGCCTTTCACTGCCTTATTTATTTGGTCATGTGTGCTGACCTTAAATAAGTTAAAAAAGCATTGCCCAAGAAATATATTTGAACATGGATTTTTATTTACAAATAAGTTTTTTTTTTTTTCACATTTAAACACTATTACCTCTGTTCAATGTTTATATAAATGTGGTTAATGTTAGGTTCATGGGTTGCTGAAATTGAGAAAAGACAGAGGAAAATGTCAAAGTTAAGATTAAATAAGAAATGCTTTCATGGCTGGCATTTATAATAATAGGAACATACATTCTAGAGTTTTCTCTACCTGATTAGTATTCTTCCTACACAGTCAGATCAGATTGAGTCTATTAATGGTAAAACGTGTATTTTTTATTAAAAATTGTAATATATATGGCTGCTAAGAGGAAAGGAGATTAAATATTGCTCAGCTAATTAAAATCTCATAATTCAATTAAATCCAACCCATTTGTTTAGAAAATGAAGTGTAAAATAAGCATCTAAAAATAAGGTAAAGGATATTTGAAAAACAGATAGCAAAAGTATTGCCATCTTGAGACAAATGGTCTGAATCCCTTTAAACAAGATACAGATCAGAGCTGAGAAATGAGCTTAACCTTCTTTCAATCTTTTAAAGAACAGAAATGTCACCCATTTATTAAGCTTTAGAAACATTTTCATAATTAATTTCCTTTTCTTAAGACAACATATATTATTGGATTTTGGCCAATAAATTAGGCAAATTTTTCATTGAGATTATTCATAAAAATGTACCTATAAATGGGAAAAATCAACAATAGTTCAGAAAGTAGAAATATATGTTCCAGGAAAAGGGTATTTTTTTTTAAGTAACACCTCCTTTTTTTTGCACAAAAAAAACAAAACAAAAAAACTTACACATTAAACACAAATGGGTTTTCAAGTATATGAATCCAGTTTTATCACTTTTCACAATAGGTAGCAAATTAAAAATTCTTCCCATGGAATCAGTGACATTTCTTTAAGAAATTTCTCTTGATCATTGCTTTAAGCCAGATATTTACAGTGGGAACCCCTTGCATGAGATATTTCCATGTATGCCATCATTGAAAAGGAAAGAACAAAAATTAAGAAGTTAAGAGAAATCAGAATTGGAAGGTGTAACTAATGCAACCTCCTCAAAATGGTCATTCAGACTCTGAACACCTCTGGCGGAAATTTATTATCTTGATAGACAGCTAAATTCATTATTGGAAAGTTCTAGCTTATTAATTAAAATTTGAACTAAGTCCATCCTGCCTCCTCTAACTTCTATTATTTAAGCCAAATCTTACCTCTAGAGAAAACATTTAACACATTGATTTCCATAGCATATAACAGTTTTCATATACTTGAAAGAAAGTTTTCTTCAGGTTTCTAGATCTCATTATTTTGCTAATCTTTTTCTGCAGTCTGTCAATTTACACACATATTCTCTCTCATACATACACAAAAGAAAATAAAAATACTTTGCACATGGCCTGACCAATGACCCATGCAAAAGAGAGAGTATTTAAATTTACTTCAAATTGAGTTGAGTTTGTTATTTCATTTCCATCAAGTGTTAGGTCTGTGACATACATTTTTAGTCAAGTGGGATTAAACAGATTGTTATCCCATTCACTGCTTCAGTACTTCCTTGTAGGTTCAGAGATAATAGGAAAACATCAAATAAGTTCCCTGAACAGTCTCATCTTAGCTCCTCTTGACTGAGTTTACTTGGAGGTGCTTCTTATACTTGTCTGTCTTCCTGGCCCAAGGCTCTTAGCTATGTAGTGATAGCTGGGAACAGAGGAGACGAATGAGAAACAGAAAGATCAGTCCCTGAGAAAGAGAATTGGCTTTTCTTTCTGTCTCAGTTCAAGGACAGTGGCAGTAGACAGGGTCTGACTGACCCCCCCCCCTCTTTTTTTGTAAATTAACTCATTTGGGTCTTGCTGCCTAAAAATATATTTTTATTTATAATTTTCATAAAAGCTTAGGTGATTGAAGAATTGTTAGTGACCAGAATGATGTTAATATAACATATAAGGAACTTGCTATTACAGTTATGAGAGCAACTTTAATCTAGAAAAAATGCAAAAAAAAAAAAAAAAAGTACATGTTGTCTGGGATGAGGATGTGTCAGCATGAAGCATAGGTAGAGGAGAGATTGTATATAAACTATTTTCTTTATCTTTTCAAATTGGAAAGGAGACTTCAATATTGGAAAAATAATGCAAATATCATGGTACCTTAACCCAAGGGGCCTTTACTTCCTTACACATTTCCAAGGAAAGAATCCCAGAGTCCCACTGAATAAACATTCTGCCTAATTAGGTTGGAAACTATTTCTCCAAAAGTTAAAGAAAGCAGCATCTCCTGGGCGTCTGTTTATTTGTTTTTGTTGTTCTCTGTGTTCCCCAAGGACATTGTATACAGCTCATGTGTCCTAATTATTGCCAATTCATAACATTAGGAAGTCTGGCTAGTGTTCTTCTTGTCTGTAAACTAGACACTGATTCTCTTTCTTTGTATTTGTGTTGCCACATTTTGCAGTAGTGATATCTTAAGATGGTTACCTGTATGGAGCAGCTTCTGTGGGCGGGAGCTCTATGCTGAGCTTTCAGAGCTCAAAAAGGAGTAATTGATGTTGTCCCTCAATGCAAACCTATTTTCTATAACTTAATTCAGATGGTTAGATGTGAACACATATCTTGGAAACTTTTGACATCTACTCTTCCAACAGCAATTATACAAAATATGCTTATGTAATGAATACTCAGGAGGCTTAGAACTAGGATTCTGTATATTCACTGCTATAGAGGGAGACCATAGCCTTCATTTCCCCTGAACTGGTAGCTGCTTAATAATATTCATTTATTAATGAGGAACTAAGAACTATAGTTAGAAATGTCATGTAATGATTTGAATATCATTCTTTCTTAGAACCATAGACTTTTAGAGGAGCCTTTAAGATCAGTGGATTGAGATCACACAATTTAGTATCTTGTCAAAAAAAAGAATCAAGTGGATATCATAGTTAGAGTTAGAGTTCAGGTCTATGCACTCCAAGCCCAGTGTTCTCTCCTAATTTGTAAAGAAATATACAAACTGAGCTCTATATACAAAGAAGAGAAAAATGAAAGTTGTTGACTTTTATTTGTAGTGCTTTTCCAGTCTTGCATAGCGTTTCCCTGTCTGTAAGACATCCTGTGCCGCCCAGATAGATCTTGGCTTCACAGAACTTCCCATCATGATGATGCCTCAAGGCCTGTCCATGGACAACCCGCCAAGCTTGGCGCATACCCCTATCACAACATGCTATTGCATTGACTCTTCAACCACACTAAAGAGGAAACAATCTGACACATTAATTTGGGTAAAAGTGGAATCAGTAGTTAAGTTACTTTAATACTATGACCAATTCCTTAACCCAAAAGAATAAACTAATAATGGAGTACTTTCGATTGCTGTGGCTTCTGTAGGGTGATGAAAGGCTAACTCTGCATTACGTTATGTCATACCGGTATCAACATAAACATAAGAAAGATCTGGTTTCTCATCCTGCTACTATTGAAAGTTTTCTTAAAACTTTTTTGAGCATCATGTTCTACATGTGTGGAAAGAGATGGGAATACCCATAAATGCCCTCCAGCTAAAGACTGCCAGGAACACACTTTAAAAGTTTAGTTTATTACACATTGCTGAAGGGAGCATGCAGAGTGCAATGTACAGTGTCTCAGGAAGAGGGTTTTAGACAGCAGAGGTTCGCCTGGATTTTGTCTGGAAGTGAGAACAGCTCTATGAGTCTGCAGGTTCACAAACCTTACCAATAAGGAGGGGGCACTCGAGTGAAGCTAACAGCTGTACTTAGTAAAGAAACAGTGGCTGCTTAGTTAGAAGAGGGATGTTTGTATTTGGAATTTTGTGACCTTGTATTTTTTTGTGTTTATGTTACTGGTAGAAGTGGAGGTCTGAGGTGCTACAAGGAAATGAATTTCCTGAGGCCCCACCCCAGAAGGATGGGGTTTTGGGGGAAAGCTTTATTAGTGATGTAACATTAAGGAGGTTCTCCTTCAAGGTCTCACCTTTGTCCATCTCCTCACCATGGAAGAAGTCTCATCTCAACTTCAGAAGGGCCAGAATTAAGGCCACTGCCCAGAATCTCTGTTTCGTATTATAGTCTAGTCCAGTCC